CATGAATTTGATATTTAGGAAGCTTTTTTTCCATTCATTATTCATGATTTTTTTTTTTAACTTGCTTGATTACTTTCCTAGTCTGAGGAGGTCTCTAAAAGATTCCAAGCGCATTATGCTTGGTGACCTCTAGTTGGAATCAATACATAATGCAAGTATTCAAAAATTATTTCCCCCTTGTCAGTCTGTCTGTTCTATTAGAGGAAAGAATATCTCAGTGAGATGAGATGAGATATTCTGGTAGATTTCTGAGACAATAGTGGTCTTCATGAGATTCTAGAAAACCTAAGTCTTGTCCATCTTTAAATAAAATGCCAAACATCTGATCTGCCTCCAATTTGATGAACAAAACAGAGTTGCTTTGAGCCTCTTGGCATCTATAAGTGAGTGGCAAACTTAGGCTGACAGGAACTCGGGTTTTTTTTTCCTCCCATGTATAACAATTTTCTTTGAAACACCAAAAATATCTTTACATTATGGAATATTTACATAAGAAATAATTTCCTCCATAAACTTTATAATATATATTGATACAAATATTGACTTTGTTTCTAGTCCCTTAAAGAAAGGGAAGTAATAAATTGAGGTAATTCTCAACTAAATAAACTTACAGTATTTAATGTATATTTATTTTAGAAAGATGAAAAACACAATAAGCTAAGAAAAACCATTAAAATCAGTTACTATAACATTGATGGCTAAACAATATAAGCATTTGAGTACGCATACTACAAGATGAATTTTTTCCCTCTGTAAATATGTTGGGTACTTCATGAAACAAAGTGGAAGTCTATATACTTTTTCCTTGAACATCGTTTTTATTGGCTGTGTAATATTTCATTGTATAATACAGGTGAACCTTAGTTTATATTAAATAATCCTTTCTTGATAATCCCTAGATTTCAAATAACCTTTGTTGGTAAATTGACATTTATGAAGCCTTTTTCTCTATAACAGTATTATAAATAATAGTTCATTTTCTAGGTTAGCTCCTCAAATTCTAATTCATATTTATGACATGGTAAGATGCACCGCTAGATAAATGGCACTCCGACACTTAAAACATAGGTTCTGCTTATCGTATCATTTTTGTGGAAATCTCTGTAATCCGGTTAGCACCTGGCACAGTGTCAGAGATAAAACAGGCACTCACCAAAATCTGAATGAATGGGAGATGGTATTCTGTCTTTGCTCAGGTTGTCCTGACCAAAACAGCCAAGTGTAACAGATGGTGTTCACTTTCTGGCCTATGAGAGAAGAGTTGCGGGTGACAGGAAGGGCACACTGGATTAGCAGGATTTCCTCACAATTTGTGTATTTGGCAGTTGTCAGCAGTTCTGCCTCAGACAACCTCGTAAAGACTCCCACGAAGTCTATTTATCTGGTACAAAGTTGGGGGTAGTGGAAGTGGGGATGTAAAAGATACAGAAAACTTGAACAACAAACTTGACCTAATTTTGTTTATTATTTATTTATTTATTTAGAAACTGAGTCTCGCTCTGTCTCCAGGCTAGAATGCAGTGGTGAAATCTCAGCTCACTGCAACGTCAGCCTCTCTCCTGAGTTCAAGCGATTCTCCTGCCTCAGCCTCCCGAGCAGCTGGGACTATAGGCATGCGCCGCCATGCCTGGCTAATTTTTTTTTTTTTTTTTGGATTTTTAGTAGAGACGGGGTTTCACCATCTTCTCCAGGATGGCCTCAAACTCCTCACCTCAGGTGATCGCCCGCCTCGGCCTCCCAAAGTGCTGGGATTACAAGCGTGAGCCATGACTCCAGCCCCTAATTGATGTTTATAGATCATTCCACATAGCGCAAGCAGAATACACATTTGTTTTAAGTGCACACAGAATATTTATCATGTTCTGAACCATAAGACAAGGAATTCATGGACTTTTTTTTTTTTTTTTTAAAGTTAGGCGTATACCTTTCATATGTAGGCATTCCACTTACAAGTATTTATCCAAAAAGAAAGTATACGTTCATTCAAAGATTTCAACATGAATGTTCATAGCCATTTTATCTGTAAAAGCCAAAAACTAGAATAACCCAAAATGTCCATCAGCACGTGAATGAATAAACTGTGGTGTATCCACACTACAGAATACTTCTCAGTAATAACAAGGAATAAACTGTTGATACATTCAGCAACATGGATGAATCTCAAAGTAAATTTCACTTCATGCTAAGGTAAAGAAGCCAGATGAAAAGGGTACATACTCTGTGGTTCCCTTCGTATAAATGTTTAAATCATACGTACGCATGTAAAGAGACCGATCAGAGCAGTGATTGCCTGGAGGTGGAGAATGGTGGGACAGGGTGGGAGGAAGGATTAAAGGGGCATGAATCTACTTTTAGAGGTAATAGATTGTCTTGGATGTGGTGTTTCTTAGGTTATACATATGTCAAAACAAATCTTACACTTTCAAGATGTGTAGTTTATTATATATAAATAATAACCTCAATAAAGCTGTTTATAAATAGATCATAAAAGAAGGCATTTAGAATTCTGGGGCTGTTTACATCATTATAGTGTTTATTAAACACACTTAAATGCAAATGGCATAACATTTTACTGTGTACTGTGCTGGGTCAATAAAAGGGACTTGCTTGGTGATTCGTAATTTTGTATAACAAGAAACAAGGAAAAATGTTAGGAATCTAAAAAATAAGGCCAAGTGAGGTGGCTCATGCACATCATCCCAGCACTATGGGAGGCCAAGATGGGAGGATCTCTTGAGCTCAGGAGTTTGAGATCAGCTTGGGCAACATGTCGAAACCCCATCTTTACAAAAATTAGCTGGACATGATAGCACGCCTGCCTGCCTGCCTGCCTATATCAGTTTGTCTGTGTCTGTCTACCTATCTATCTATCTGTCTGATATTCTCTCCATTTTTCACTGAGGAAAAGTCATGTATATACATGGTTAACAATTGAGAATTGAATTTTCAATCGAGTTGCATTCCTATGAGTAGAGAAAAAGAGACATCGAAAATGTGATAATTCAGTAGCTACTCCTTGCCTATTGAATCAAGATCAAATTCCTGAGCCACTGGCTTTTGATGTTTTGTGTGGTGTGACCCTAAGCTTCTTGTTTAGTTTTGGCTTGTCCTTCCCAGAGAATGTACTGATTTTTCCCCTGGTTCACTGCGTTGGTTACTGCTTTCCTCTGCCTGTGATAGTTATGTATCCCACCTCATCTTTTGGCTGCATTTGGTAAAATGCTGCATATCCTTTAGATTCTTTTTTGGGTGCTTTCTCTGGTTTTTCCCCTGTGTTCTGTATTTTAGTAGATACTAAGCCCATAGTGTGTACCCTACAGCCTGCGCTATGTGTATTTACATATGTGTCTTGAATGACTTTTATTAGTGGCACCTAGCCAGGTACCTTGTACATGGTAGGCCTGTTTGTTGATCGTGCCTTAAACACAGTGAGTGGAAGATAGTTTGGCAATTCCTCAAAGATCTGGAAGCAGAAATACCATTTGACCCAGCATTCTTATTACTGGATATATACACAAAGGAATATTAATTATTCTGTTACAAAGATACATGCATGTGTATGTTCATTGCAGCACTATTCGCAATAGTAGAAAATAAACCCAAATGCCCATCAGTGAGGAACTGGATAAAGAAAATGTGGTGCATATATACCATGGAATACTATGCAGCCACAAAAAGGAATGGGATCATGTCTTTTGCAGGGACATGGATGGAGCTGCAAGTCCTGTCCTCAGCAAACTTAACACAGGAACAGAAACCCAAACACCGCACCGCGTGTTCTCACAAGTAGGAGCTGAAGATTGAGAACACAGGGACACATGATGGAGAACACCACACATGGGCCTGTGTGGGGCTTGAGGGAAGGAAGAGCATCAGGAAGAATAGCTGATGGATGCTGGGCTTAATACGATATGTAGATCTGTGCAGCACACCATCATGGCATGCATTTATCTATGTAACCTGCACATCCTGCACAGGTACACTGGAACTTAAAAGACCACAATCGAAGCAATAGTCAGTAAGGTTGGCCCTACTGTTATGGAACTGAACAGATGCAGAGTTAATGCATTTTGGTTATTATTTAGGTA